CCTGTATAATTACAGGAGTTCCCAACAAAAATGTATTTTTATCACATCAAGATGCATTAGCAATTTGTGAAAATACAGTTTTTTATGCATATATAATCTATATCATTATATATGTATTATTTTATATATTATTTTCATGATTTTTTTAAACATATGTAAATATTGTTCATTAAACTGTGAAAAAAACACATAATCTAGTGCAAACTTTAGGTTTTTTGATTATTGTAAATTTTTATATTTTATCATATGGTCATTTACTGTATTTTTTGATGCCCCAGCTGGTGGAATATCACTTGTTTATCTCTTGCGTTTCTCCTGAAATCTGCGACCTTGGCTCCAAACCTCATTAACCCCATGACACAGAAGGAAACAATAAATGAATAAATCTCTCTCACATGTTGATGTTATGGAGGTGATGTTGAGTGAAGAACAAAATATATCATTTAACCAGAACAAATGCAGTAAAAACTGAAATTATGCGTAAATCTTCTATTTTTATTCCAGCTTTGACGTTGCTGTTCTGAAACATAGACATTATGCTGACTTTGGTGACAAAATAAATGGAACCTGTGCACGATTCCTTAAACAGGAAACACAGTTCAGTTAAAAATACCAAACCAGAATCAATCAATGATATTTAAAAGACTGTCAGTGGGTTACAGCGGCTATACAGTCTAAAGTCAGGATGTTGACACCTTATTGTTTCACTCTGGAGTCCCTGCAGCTGCATTATTTCACCCATTGTGGAGCAGAAAATAGACTTCAGTATGAGGATTGGGCAGTAGTTCAGCAGGCTTTGAGAACTGCGTACAAGTGTTAGACAGCTGCTTACTCAGACTATTTAGAAAAAAAAACATGTTGTGTTTTTTTCCTCCTTCATAGCAGCAGCCTGAGATTTGCTGGTGGAGCTCGGCGTCCTTGGAGTTCGGTTTCATAGCTTTAAGCCATTTCGAGCATCCACATCTCGAGTGATTGTGTGCCTTTCGACAGCCATCAGCTGGGACTGAATTCAAGCAACAAACTTCACAACACCCCCCGAAGGCTGCAGCTTGCACAGTTTTGTCTGCAAGTCTTCCAAGTCGGTTTCTCATTAAAGAAAGCCCACAGAGGTTTGGCTGATTTGCTCTTTCTAGTCTTAGATGCCACAAATATTCTTTGAACTGCTTCTGTCTCCTCAACTGGGTTTACATCTTGACCAACCTTAAGCTTTAATGTAGCTCCAAATATGGGCAATACAGGAAAAAGATGTAAAATTTTAACCTTTACAAAGTCACACATCCTTTTTCAAAATGCAGTGTGCTTATATATTACTACTACTTTGACCTTGGGAGTGTTTTTGCCTCTTGTAAGGTTTGTTCCTTGTAAAAAAAAAAACAAACAAACAAACACATGCTTCTGTACTTTCCAATACTTATCCCAGTGTAGCTTCTATTCTGTTGGCCTATTTCAAACTATTGACAAAAACAGAATTGCTTTTTCCCATCAGTGTACAATCGCTCTCTGTGTTTTGTTTTGTTTTTTCACCATTATTACATGCATTCATCTCTTTGGCAGCTTCTAAAGTTGTAATCGTCGGTGAAACCAGCTCTCCAATGACCACCCACCACCCCCAGATGGAGGATGATTGCGTATAGCTTAATTCATCGTTCCTCGGGGGGAAGTTGTGTCCATCTGATGGTGAGAGAATGTAGTCGGTGCAGCTTCATTACCAGTACTGAACTCTGTCTGCGCTCGTTAAAGTGTCTTTTCTCTGACCCTTGAGATCTCTGCTTGCATATTGCTGCAGCAACAACCTGCAGAGTCTCTGATGCTGGCAGCTTGTGTGTATATTAGCACTGTCAGATTATGTGGAATTGCTGAAACATATTTGTCTTTGCCGTCATGGCAAAACAACCGTATTTTCCTATGAGAGTCTTGCAGCCTTCTCATTTTGCTGCTGTAGACAGAACACAGTCTGAGCGAATGCATTCATAGACGACATATACAGTCACACACATGCAGGTATATACTGTGTATATACAGTTTCAGTCCTGGGATTAGGACACAGCAGGCAGTCATGAGATAAATCTGAGGAGCTGCAAGACAATTAACGAGATAGAGAAGAAGATTTCTTTTTAACCTCTTAAGACCCGAGCTCTTGTTTGATATGCTTTTTTTANTCTGTGGAACAGTTGATCTTTTCATTAGGAATGCGACAAATACAGGAACTTTTACCTTTGGTGTTGAAAATCCACCTCATCTCTTTAGCATTCGATGCAAGCTGAGCTCAACACACTGACTTCATCAGTTGTGCTGCTTTGACTGTAGAGTGTCGTATACTTTATGTTTCAAAATTTTTATTACATTTTACACGTCTGTGTTTTGAGAG